ACTCAGCTCTGCAGCCTGAGCGGCTCATTGATCCTCCTCTGATGGGTGGAGTGTTGTTCTTAATGACCAATGGTAAGAGGCATGTGAGTGGAGGCAGCAGCATATACTAATGGCACCTCCTGCAACAACATGAGGGTGTTATGACAGAAACAGAGAGCGAGCCAGGAAACACTCTCCAAACTGATAGTGATACAAAAACACCAGAAACATTAACACATGACTTTTTCTTTATTAGACTCAATGGAGCACTTAAATCTTCTCTGTCAGACACTGAGTGCAATTAAACTAGAGTATTAATGCCTTGTAGAGACGTAAGGTGCATTTTAATAGAATTAACTTCACATGGTAGGTTGACAGGGACTAGTTTATAAAGCAGGAACTGAATGTAAACTGGTGGCATTTTATTTTTAAATGAATTATTAACGTTTGGAGCCTATTGACTGAAAATATGAGATTAAACATTTAAGCTATGTGGCACTTTTGTGAGGCTCATGGGTGTAACACATTTTGAGCTTTAACATTTTATTCATGACGGCATAGAAAATGTGTTTTCATATATTTTAAACACAGATTTTTCCTAAAATGGAAAACATACATCCCTGTATTAAAGCTCTCCATGAAGATTTCTTTTACATATTCGGATGAAAATAGGCAAAAAATACTTGTGTTAACTGATAACGTTTGGGAATTCCCCACTATTTTTTTCCTTTTGTTTTACAATGATGCACATTTACAATGGTCGTCCTCTCATATGTAAGAGAAAATAGACCTAACATTATGATTTCTGGCTCTCAAACAGACTAATATGAATCAAAATCTGATGTTAAGTTTTAATATTTTCTTCCATTTCCACAGTGTCCAGCTCAGATAAGTTTAAGCAAGATGTGCAAGATGATTTTTACCTTTTTTTTTAACCTTAAGACACATATGATAATCTTATTTTTTTTAAAAAATTAACAGGTGAATCAGATCAAAGCCAAATCAAAACATTCATGATGAATTTACAGATTTCATATGTCAGTATTATTTATTTTTTTCTTTTTGTAAATTGCACTCAATCACTTTTATCCTCTTTAGAAGAACTTGTGAACTGTTGTGTCCATGCTTTCAGTGCAAAACTCCAATAATGTGACTGCTGACATGGCTGGATCGACCTTCAGGGTGTTTGACGTGTGCGGCTAAGGGCCAAGAGTGCCACTGATGACTGTTTATTTGTCAACAATGACCCAAGGTAAGTACTTTATATGCTTTGAAAAGAAAAAAATAGATCTTGAATTTATGATTCATCAGAGTAGAACTGTAGAACACATATTCTTGTAACAAACTGTCTCGGTAGACATCAGATTAAGAGCCTGAGCTCATCTACATTAAATCACACACACATATCCGAGTGATTTCTCTGCCACAGTTGGATCTTGGACACCGTACGACCCCTCACACAGTTCCCCAAACTGAAAAAGGCACTCACATGTTTGTGGAAAACTCAATCGGGGAAGAATCTCAGAGAGATTTAAAGAATCAGATCTTGAAAATCAAACACATTAAAACACACACAGTGCATCTGGGTGATGACTGTTGTCTGTTCGATTGGGCAGACTCTGGGAGCAGCTGTGGTTAGCTGCTGGGTGGAGTGTAAACAGATGGAGCAAATAATAAAAACCGTGACGCAAGTTTGAATGTGTGTGTAAGAATGAATGGCCTTTAGGTATGATTAGTGTTGTAAGTGGTGCTCAGAGAAGTCGTACTGGCAACAAATTCTCTTGTAGAAAACAGTAGTATTAGTAATGGTGGAGTGTAACTCATGTATTGATTCAAGTACTGCACTGAACTTTGAGCTACACATACTTTACTGGGGTGTTTCCATTTTCTGCCACTTTATACTGAACTTAGAGTAAAATATTGTACTTTTTTTTTTATAAATAGTTACCACTTACTTTACAAGTAGAGTAGAGCTCCACCTTAAACAGCTAAATCTGTAAAAATACTGCTTTGTCCTATAGTACAATATAAAATAATACAACTCTGACAGATAATTCTGTCGATAATACTTCTAAACTTTGACTTTAATGAGATTTTGAATGCAGGACTTTCTTTGTAAAAGCATATTTTTACACCTGGTTTTTTACTTGAGTAAAAAAAATCTGAATATTTGTGTATTCAGTATGGCAACAGTGGCAGAAATCAAAGTTTAAATAGCCATAATCACAGTAATATAAGTGCCATTGCAGTGTTAGTTTAATGACCAGATAAACATCAATGCAGGGGAAATCTATTAACTGTTTGAATAAATGTTTGAGGAGAGGAGGCGATTAAAATGTTGTTGGCAATATGGTTTGCATTATACACTGTAATGTGTTAATACTTTTTCCAGTTTAGGTTTTTAAGATGGTGCAGATTTGTTGTGGAGTAAATACATTTATTTTATGTTTTTATTTCAATGTAAAATTGGGAAAAAATCTAAATAACAACGTTCTTAATGCAATAAAAAAGATTATTATCATTATGATTGTTAATAATATTATTGAGCTTGATGATGATGATGATGATGATTATTATTATTATTATTATACTAAATTGATTAATGTTATAACTGTGGCTGTATCGCAGCAGGTAGAGGTGTTTTCCTGCCGGACGCCTCTTTGTCTCGTCTTTATTTGCCTCCATCAGTCTCTGTCCAGCGGCCGGGCAGCACCTCAGGGCGCACGGCTTATCAGCTTTCTGTTTACCTCTCAATTAATCCCCATTAGTAAGGAGAGGGCATTAGGCCGCTGTGGTGGACTTTATCGCTGAGTTGTCCCAAACAGGACATCAGCTTGTTAACAGCTCAGACTGACAGATCTCAATCTGAGTTTAGAGACCGACTGTCTGGCACGGAGAGGAGCCGCGGAGACGCACTGATGGCTGCCGATAGCAACCATATTAATTAATTCAGCTTTAATTGAATCAAATAGAGAGGATCACAGTGTGCGTGGAGTAGCTTGTACATTATTCATGGAGGCAGGAAATAATAACTCAAGACATGTTTTAAAATATTACACCATGAGAAGCATTCGTGAGACTGTGTTCCTCCCAGAAATAATCGTTTATCATACTGACGAGCTCCTGATCTCCTGTCAGTCATCAGAGCTGCTCCACTTTTTAAAACCCATATAAATCAGTATAAACGGGGTCTGGGGGTTTCTGTTTTACTAAAAGTGGCTCCTGCTGTTTGTTCTCAGTCTTAGCTGCTGCCTCACATTATGGACATGAGTGTGTGTGTGTAATTACACAAGAATGGGTTTGGGAAACAACTGTTCTCAGGCCGGGGGAACAATTACGCGCAGAGCAAAACGGCAATTGATGCTTTCTCTCCCTCATTTTCACACAACTTCCATGATCATTTATGTTCCTAAGAATTATTCCAGCAAACAAGTTGGCAGGTTTTTGTCCCATGAAGGAGGAAAAAAATGTTCGAGGCGTGTTTAGTCTGAAACTGACCCCTACATGTAATTTCTTTAGCCCTCATTTGTGCGTAATGGCTAATTTAACAGCGCCAATTAGGCTGCACGACTCTAAATAAAGAAGCACTTCAGCTTTTCTAAACATCTCCCTTTTTTATTTAAACCAAAAAGAGCTTCACTCCTGTCCTGCTGATTATTTTTTCAAATAATCAGTTATGATTTGGTGTATAAAATATATGGAAATAGCAAAAATAAATAAATAAATAAAAAACCCCATTAAAACATCCTAGTTAAACAAATTTCTTCAGTCCAATTTACAGTTACGTAAAACACAGAAAAGCAGCAAATTCTCTAGTTTGAGAAGCGGGCATTAAAATAAAGTTTGGCAGTTTTCGCTTGACAAATGACTCAAATTGTTGTTTATTGATTTTCTGAATGACTCAATCAATTCAGCAAAAGTTTGACACAGCAAAAAACAAAATATATATTTAATTTGTTTTTGGTTTTTGAATCAACAACTGCCCAAATCCTTTGTGTCTTTATAACCAAAAACCACTGATCCATAAATCCCCATAAGATCCCTTTCTTTCTTCTGTCGTGCGTAATGAGGACCTTTGACACCTGGATCCTGTGAAATCAGTACATACTGGAGTTTTTCTGTGATATTTCTCAAATTTCAATCTAACTATTTATTTCAGGATCACTGCGGTCGTTTTTCCTCCAGGATTAGACTGTTACCTGTGAGAAAAGAATCGCTCTGAGCTGAAATAAAACCCTTAAACTGAAATAATAGCTTACAGGACACGAACTTCTCTCTCCCTCCTCCTCAACGGCCTCCCCCTTAAAATTCTCCCGTCCATTTTGGGATAAATGGTGAAACTTGTAGCAATAATACCCCCTTCTTTCACACAAACGCCTCCCCGCTGCCATCACCTTCAGCCCGGCTGCCCCCGAAGCCTCGCGGCTGGGGATCTTGGAGAGCTTTTCTCCGCGAACAAAAAAAGCCTCCAGAAGGGGAACAAAAGTGACCACATTTTTCCTCCGTGTCCCCTTCTCTGCGCAGAATAACCCGCTGCCTGTCCCTCAAATGGGAATATTAGGACGTCAATCTCACGGCCCCTGTGCGCCTTTGTCTTTGCTGAGTGCCCGGCTCTGCCTACCACACACCTTTTGTCCGACAATCCAATAAGAGCCATTATTCCCGCTCCCCAGCCCGGCTGAAGCTCGCTCTTCGGGGGTATTTTAGGTGCTTAATCGCGTCCTTTTAAGGACCTCAAATGGAGAATAACTTCCTCCTTTCACGTCGCCTGGCACTGGGACAAAGAGTTCCTGTGGCCTGGCCTCCTCCAGCAGCTCTCCCCTTAATATGTTTGCGAGCAAAATTTGCCTCCGTGTATCTGACTCACTTACGTGACCCATGGGAGCTACAATACTATTATTATTCTGTCTTTGCATTATTTGGAGAGAAGTTCCATTTTACTTAAGTGACTGTGGTGCAAAATTTCCATTATTCCAACACATCCAAAATCTCCTTCACCTGAATACAGAATCAAACGCACCTTTTCTCGTTTCTTTGATTTATTTGAATAGATGTGAAATAGACTAAAACAATTCTCTGTTTGAAAAAAAAAACACTTTAAAGCAATTCAGTCTCTCCAAAGCCTAAAAATATACCGTGTTAAAAACAAACATTTAAAGAAATAATCATCTTTTGGAGTTCAAATAAGGAGAAATGCGCAACCTTGTGCGTAATTTCCCCTCTGTGCTGCAGTCCTACAGTGCCAAACTGGAGCACCGAGAATTATTGGACCATAAAATGAAATTTCACCCAAGCTGTGACTGTTCAGATGCCACAGTGTGACGTCCAGCCGTTACGCACACTTACTTCGGCTATAATATATTCGAAGTAGCCAAAAATATGAGTGACATTTCATCTCATCTGACAGGTGAATCCAAACTCACATCCGTTACATAAGCAATACTGTTTTCTGAGGTGTTTTGACCAAGTTTACACACTTCTAAAAGCTTGTCTGTTCACCAAAATCAAAGAGCTCCATAAAAAAGAGAGACACCAGTTCTGTAGTGATGAGGCTACCAGGCCCGGATCCCCTGCAGGGAGCCCTGGCACGATGTGACCGCTGTCCCTTGATGTGTTTGGGCCTGTGGGGAGCCGCTGAGGCCGTTCATGTTTCCCAAGTTCATGTTCATGAAGGCGTTCGAGGAGCTGGACGGAGGGAGGGCAGGGATGCTGGTGTACGTGCAGCTGTAGTTGGTGTTGTAAGCGGGGCTGTTGTATGTATATGCCGGGTATCCGTTATAACTGTACGGGTTGGATCCGTACGGAGCAGCAGCGGCGTAGCCCTGCGCACCGCCCAGACACGGCTTCCCATCTCGGACCAGCACCGGCACGGCGACGCGCCGGGGCGGCGGAGGGTGGTGCTGCCCCGCCGCCTCCAGAGACTTGTCCTGCCGCTGCCGTTTGCACTTGTAGCGCCGGTTCTGAAACCAGATCTTCACCTGGTTCGAGGTGAGTTTGAGGGTGGTGGCCAGGTGCTCCCGCTCAGGGGCGGACAGGTAGCGCTGCTGCTTGAAGCGCCGCTCCAGCTCGAAGACCTGCGCCTGGGAGAAGAGCACCCTGGGTCTCCGCCGGCTCCTCTGCTTCTGCACCGGCCTCTCTGAGTCGCCCTGCCCGCCTTCCGTTGCCTCATCTCGGGACACCAAGCCACAGCTCTCTGGGGAGGTAGGAAAGTCAGATAAGAAGTGTTTATATCTGGAGTGAAATCAAGAAATGTTGTTTCCAACCGTGCGTAAAAATTAAAACTCGCTCAGTCCACAATACGCGTTGGTATTTAACAGAAACAACAACCCTCTTAAACTTCGAGAAATACTCCTGACCTCCAAAAAATCAGTCACTCAGAGACAACACTCAAACATTGCGCATTTCTTTTGTTTCATTTAAAATGTCCCTTAAACTTACAAACGCTTTGAGCCATGGCGCTACAAAAAGCTCAGAAATTATTACAAAATGAGACAATAAAATCTAAAACTCCAGTGAAGGCAGACTTGTGAAATATAACATGTGCAACAAGTAGAAACAAATCTCTTGTCTAAAATACAGGCTTGGACATTTACAGCTTTACTCGAATAGTTTATATTTGAGCGACTTCCTGAACTTAAAAAACCCCATGCAGCTTCAGACCTCATTCTTTTGACTGTTTATATCTAATGAATAATGACATGCACCGTGTGAGGAAGATGTGTCCGACTGTGGCTGTGTTTATTAGCGCTACTTCGCGGTGTCATTTCTTTTACAGGCCTCTTTAAACTAATTGTCGGTTTATGGTCCACACATCATAACAGACTCCGCATAACAGGCGCGCAGCTGAACCACTAGAAAGTGTTTGACATTTCCAGACTTTACTGGATTCGTCTCAGGCCTCTGGCCGCGGTGATACAGACTGCCACCATTTGATAGCTCTTTATTGGGATAATGTCTGGTGTCTGGAGGTGAAAGAGCCGAGAACAGGCCTCTGTGGACAGGTAGTGTTCTGCAGAGGTTAGAAAATATCTCTTAAACACGATCTGCCTTCCCTGTGTTCAGCGGGGTTTGTTTTTATTTTTGCACGACTTGTATTTTGTGCCACAGTGAGGTTTCATCTTTAAGGTCACATAATAAAATAATAATTAATAACACTGGAATAACTAGCCATAAAAAAAGTTGTAGGATTATTTAGAAAATGACACAAATCTGATTTTCTTTTTCCAGTTTACTCACATTGTGTTTGACACTGTAGGCCCAAATCTCCAACACATGACTTTTAAGCTATCACAAATTATAATATTGTTATTTTTAATTTACAAAACTAAACTACATTGTGCGTAACAGAGTCGCCATTCCTGAAATTCAGCCGTGACACAGTTTGGTTCAGGTCACAGGTTAAGCTGTTTTGTGGCTAAACATGCAAATCATTTTGTAGCCACTAAAAATCTGAGCTTTAACATTCAAATCAGCTGTTTACATTTGTAATTTATGTTGAAGCACTTTGATATTTTCTCTGTGAAACATTACAATCGATGTGACTGTAATAATTATTGTTACACGCGTCCTTTGTTGCCTTTTGTCTGGCCTGTTCAGCAGCAGCTTGCGCTTCAACTCACTGTTCTCCTGCTCGTCCAGCTCGGCGGCCTCCAGCTTGGCTCCCTGCAGGCCGGGGTGAACGTACATGTCCGGGGACAGGCTGGTCTCCCCTCGGTCCTCTTCCCGCACCGCCAGCGCGCTGAGGTAAGCCAGGTTGTCCTCTCCGTCCGAGAAGGAAGGACTGTCCCGGGCCCCTGCGAGCATGCAGGACGGCGGGGATTGGAAATGCTGCTGCTGCTGGGGAGGAGACCCGGTTAACTGCTGCTGGGTGTGGGCCCGGTGCTGGAGCTCCAGAGACCCGGACTGCTGCTGTTGTTGCTGCTGCTGCTGCTGCTGCTGCTCCAGCTTGAGGATATCCTTGACAGAAAACGGCGTGGAGGTGAGCGGGCTCTGCAGCATCATGTCATCCAGCTCCTGCTCTGCAGCACCGAGGAAATGAAGCCCACCGAGTAACATGCACACCCCTTCTCCTTCGCCACTCTTTTCTAACAAATAATTGAGCTTAATAGCCCCTTCTTTGGTAATTGGAGGTGCGTTAAGCCTCTGGAATCCCTCATTGCCGTAAAACGCACGAAAACATTGGTATTAGTCCCGGTTTTGTCCATGCAGGTCTCCTGTCTGACAGATATAATGTCGGGCTTTGTAAGAGGAGTTTGGACCGGGGCGAAGGAGCGCCTCTGCCTCCTCTGATGTCAGGGGGAGGGGTGAGTGAATGGAAAGTGCGTGTGGGCTGGAAGGGAAGCATTTGGGAGAGAGAGAGAGAGACAGACAGAGTGCGGGAAGGTGGGGCGTACGTGACGTATATTCACGTACTGGTTCTGTTTTCGGACTTGTGTGAATATGGTGGACAGAGAATCTTACTGACACCCTGCCTCCACCGTGTTTATCTTTCTGCGCTCGCCAAATTCGCCTCCAACAGCCTTTTTACGCACACATGCTGTCACAAGAGTCCCGTTAGTAGCTCTGCTCTGCAAATATATACAATTACTTTGCTTTGTCACGTTTCTAAACACGTTATTTGTAGTTTTCATCATTCTACAGTCAGTCAGTACGTGGGGGGGCCTTGTGATTGTTCGTGCGTAAATCTGCGCGCTTTGGAGAGTCGCAGCATGTGGCACGCTCGCTGCAAGAACGGTGGCACGTCAAGGTCAGCTGGCAGGTCAAGGGGTAATAGACTCAGGAACCTCTTTGGCTTGTAGTTTAACTTCACCCTAGAGTTAAAATTATAAAACAAAAGAGGGGATTCCCATCTCCGCGCGCTGACCAACATATGTACAACAAGTACAGATTGATTTTGTCTCAGGTTACATACAAGAGGTGAGTTTTGCTCTCCTCGCCTGTCAGTTGAGAATTAAAGTGACTTTTTTGGCTTAAAGTGTTTGAAATGAATTCAAATGTTGGATTTGGGAAGGTAATATGACAATATGGTCCCTGCAGGCCTCATAACAACCAAAGTGATCTAAAAGATGCGATTATATTTTCAGGAAGACTTGAGGGTGCTGAGTTGACTCTTCTGGAGGCCGCTCCCATCGCTGGCTCCTCACAAGGACATGAAGCTGAGGTTTGTTGGAGTTTTCAAAGTTTCTTCAAACTATGTTTCTCTTAAATTTACAAGGGGTGACCAAGCTTCCATCGATTCCAGCTCTGTCAGGCTGCACAACAGAGAACTGTGTGTAAAATATTCCAGCAAATATAGACACTCTCCCATTTTATGTAAAAGTGGAGTCACTGAAGTATCTACATGAGTTTAATATATGCCACTCTTCTCCCGGTATATGAGACATCTCCAATGACGCACCAAAAATGGCTTCACATTTGTACCTTTAATAATTGGAAATTAAAGGGGTCAAGAGGTTAAACGCCGCTGAACGCTTTAAAGTCCATACAGTTTACAACTCTGAGTATATGTTTGATTTCACCCTCCTGTTCTCTCCCTCTGCCGTGCAGCAGCAGCAGCAGCCGGCTGCTCTCGGTGTTTCTCTCCGGCCTCTTTATCGCGGGTGTTGTATTAATAACCGCCCTGGGCCGATAAGCAGGGCCCCCCGGGGCAATTAAGATTCCTCCAGGAAAAACTGACTGACGTTTTTAGCTCGAACTAATCTGCTCCTATCAGCTCCCCTTTCCGTTTTGCAGCGGGACCCCTCGCCTCTGTCACCCCGCTGCCTCCGCTCCTCCTGCGGGGTTTTTCTGAACACAAACAACCTGCAGTGTCTCAAAAAAATAAGATTGTTTTTTCGGTTTTTATTTTATATTATCATATAAATTTCACACTGATTTATTCAATTTAACACAGCTGGTTAAACAATGAGGTTTAATGAGCCAATTTAATGTAGTGCACTTATGATGAAGTTGTGTTATGATAAAGGGGCGGAGGGTGCTGCATTAACTCTTATAATAAGGACATTTTCAGACAAGTATCAGTGAATTGAAGCAACTAAACACAATAAAACTTTCTAATTATTAAAAACAAATCACAAAATTTCACTTTTAACTTTTTAATTGAATCCTCAGTCATAACTAGTTTCTTAAATCATGTCAAAATGTGCTTTTAGTGCCTTTCCCATACTTCTTTACAGATATGTGAGGCCATGTTCATATGTTTTGAAAGAAAATAAATAAATACAATAGAATAAAAATGTTTAAGTTGTGTGTAATGCAGAATATGAACTCCATTTCATGCCAATGAATCCCCCATGTTCCCATAAGAGTAGGACAGGACCTTGGTGTCCTCAGTTGCAGCCATGAAGCCACTAAGGATTTCACTGACCTTTCAGTAGGCTACAGCAACCACCATGTTGTTTAAGGGCTTCCCAGAAACTCCCCTTGTTACATAAACACAACTGCACAATAATAATGTGTTATTTTATTCCTGACACAGAGGCAGTGATGCATGTTAAGTTTTCCAACGCGTGGTTCTATAAAAAGCTGCAAAACTTAGACATAAAAGATTTTTTAAAAGACTTTTGGCAGTGCGTTTTAAGAACTTTTCTGAGAGTTTGTACAGTTTCACAGAAGGAGCTGCAGATCATCAGATGCTTTATTGTCAGGATGTGGACTTTAAATCTAAGGTGGACATACAAGTATAAGAAATTTGAGAGGATTTAAAGGTCACTGCAGACACTGATACATTTATTCTGACATTGGATTGCTCTCATCTTCGGTATCTTTTATAGTTGACGCCAAAAACTGAAGCTACACTCAAGAAATCCTCTCAGATCATCAAACTCCATCATCACATTCAATCATTTATCCTCCCTCAAGCCTTCAATGATCCAGAGCAACATTCCTCTGATGCTCTTTTTTACTGTTAATAGGTTTAAATGAGCATTGATTAATATGCTTTACAACTCTATGGTGGGCTGTTTATGATTATTTGGCACCTTAACGTTGCAGCATTAGTGCTGAAAGAAAACAAATCTGTGCACTCATGAAATTATGTTTTTCTTTTTTGGATTTTGAATCAATAGCTAGCCTCTGTACGGAGACTCAAGGCTAGCCACTGCTATTGAGCTTTAGCAAATTTTAGGAAGAGGCACCAGGCCAAAGACTTATGACGCACACAGTTGACGAGATGTGAAAAAAGAGGAAAAAAAATGTCCCTCCGCTTTGCTCAGAGCTACTTTAGGCAGAGGGCCCCTCAAACATAGGGGCCATCAAATAAAGTGAGAACTCCATTTGAGTCCCTCTGCTGTTCTTTGGTTGTCTATTTCAGTATTGCTCTATCTAGGACCAGAATATGCAAATTTTGTGAGCTGAGATGGAATTTCAGGGAATAATGTTTCCATGTTTGCACGCTGCAGTAAATCTGCTGTCAAAGTTTTGATCCTACTGTCAAAAGTTATTTAAACAAGTAACAAATTGAGGATTCAAAGGCACTAAAACAAATTCTGAGAATATTCGGATGACACAATAATGACAAAATCACTGAATGTCTGCATCTTTTTTGTTCTACTTTTCTATTTGAGCTTTCTGTAAGCGTGACGCTGTGCAGCAGGTTTAACAGTTTTATCTGTGATATCATAATTCTGATAAATTGTAAGTCAGCTGCTGGTGTGCACATTTTCATTCTGTAAACTAAATGTATGTCTAAACTATATCCTGCTCGGGGCCCCTCACAGACCTGAGCAGGGTGTCCCCTCCTGTGTAACCCTGCAGGTAGTAAATATCCTGATGTGCAGCTCGCTCTCTCTATGGAAACTGGAATCAGACAGATATATGTGTGATTGTCCCTGTAGACTCCTCGGCGACTCTCTCCAATTCACGCTACATCATCATCGGCACGTCCTCGTAAAAAAGTGCCAAACAAGGCCGGATAGTGTTTAGACTGGCACACTGCCGCCTCCATTTACTTTAAATAAGCATTAAATCCAAAGACGCCAGGCTGAGCGCTGTGTTTTCTGTGTGTCAGATAGGCAAACACTCTTCAGCAGCTATTGGAAGGAAAATAAAACTGTTTCAGTTAAAGTTAAGTGATGGGACGGTTGGCTTTGGTTGGGTGGTCATGCTAGGACAAGGTTTCCAAACTTGGGCTCAGGGGATCTCCAGGAGTCCTTGAAGTATTTTTAGGACTGATTTCTAAAAAGTTTCTTAGCAGATGAATAGATCATGTTTAGCTTGAAATTCATAACTCAGTTTTTTTCTAATGTTAACAAGAGCAGACTGAAACAAGTTCACCAAACTGTAGACTCCCAAATAAAACAAAACAGGCAGCATGCTCGTCTTAAATAGATGGAAATGCTATTTTGTAGTGATGTCATTTTTTCATTGACCACAGATAACCACATAATACATTACAAAGTCCATCATGTAAATGGCAGCTCCTATATGGGAGTTCTAGATCGACAAGTTTAAATTGGGGAGACTTTTTTCGTTTGTAAAACTTTTAAGAACTCAAGGAAGACGATAAAGCCCTCATATCTCTGTCATCTGAACAATGGGAGATTATGAGACAATGGGCCGTTCAGTGGCGTCAGGGGGAAATGGGGCGGGAGAAGAATGAAAGTTAAGGTGGCAAAGGTCCGTGTAGGGTGGCCGATGGGTCCAACAAACACCATGCGTGAATTTGTGTTTATTTTTAAAGAAACTGCATGTAAACGTTAAATTTCCTGTGAAAAGGGAAGTGTATTGTGAAAGACAATAATGCATGTAAGAGGCAGAACTTGCTGTCTGAGAAACTTTTCACATCGTATCTGGATGTGGAAAGTCCATGACTAAACATCGATATGTGACGAGGTCAGAGTGAGAATGTGTTGGACAGGAAACATCATTTGTTTGTGTCTTCCAAAACCACCTTTGAAAATCTGTTTGATTATGCAACAACACTATGGTAAAGGTTTGGTCAGGCACAAAAATGGCCTACGATATACGATACGATATGATGTGATGCGATGTGATACGATGCGATAGGATAGGATACGATATGATACAATACCATGTGTTGTGATACAGTACGGTACAATATGGAATGGTACGGTATGTTATGGTGCGGTACGGTACAATGCGATACACTTAATTGTCCCCGTAGGGAACTTTGTCTTGGAATCAGGAGTTGCACAAGTATTGCTGCCTTACAATAATAGTCCAGAAGAAAAGCATCAGACTGACATAAAAACATACTACACGTAAGAGAATTGCACATCAGCCACTCATGTATTGCACATAACACCAGCACACAACAAAGCACCATAAGCAAAACCCCAACAACC